GGATCACACTTTCGGATTCCCATCACGGGCAATCTCTTTACCTGCATCCACAAGGAGGCATAAGCAACAGAATTGCTTAGTGAGAACGGTCGTCCCGTCCCACTTAGCCACAGAATAGATATCGCAATCAAACAGTCAATATCATCAGTCAATCATGCCCACCGGCATCAGTCACTTGTCGGCCCGATTATTCCAAGTCATCCGAGCAGTTTTCCCGCAACCAGACAAGCCTTAGTGAGCATCGCTGCCCCTAAGCGTGTTGCCTGATCTAAACTCTCGGTGAAAGGAATCAACCATCACGATCAAGCCAGAAACATATAAACAGACAGTCGGGAATCACCCCAACGAACAAGACTCGATGAATCTATGCACAAAAACGACCTAGACTTAGGCCCACGGTCACGCACTCACCTTAGTCACTTAGGCTCGATGATTGCTTGTCCCGCCTCGGTTCTGAGACCTCTTGTCGCGATGATCTCTCGAACACAAAGTCCAGCCGATCACCCAGATTCTCCCAGACACGATCGGCGTCACACAGACACGTTCGCAGTCACTCACGCTCGAGCCATACACGAATTCTTTCTTAGTCCTTTTCTTTCTTTTTCCGCGTAAAAACTGAGGCAATGGGGTAGTTTTGCCTTGATAAACTGCCCCAAAACCGTCAGATAACCGTTCCCACGCAAAACCGCGTCTAAGGCCCAGAATAACCGTTCTCANGTGTTTTTCACAAAACAGCGTGTCTTTGGCTCGGTAACCGTTCCCGCCAAATGGCCTTAGAATGTTTCCAGCTCGATCCGCAGTCTACCGCAACTGCCTTGTCCGAAACAGACCGCGGTAACCGTCCTGTCGGAAACCGACCACGGTCTGAAAAAATCCGCCCAGCTCAGATTTAACTGCCCAGCTCAGTTTACTTCACAATTTCCACTCTCTCGGCCAAAACTGCCCATTGCGACTCGATCACTAGTCCGCGGCGGCCAAACCACGGAACACGGGTGTTACACAAGGTCCGGTGCCAGCGGCCAGTTTCAAAACGAGCGTTAGAGCCATCAAGAACATGTTGTACCTGATGTCATCAAACTCGTATATGATCTTCAATACATCACATCTCATCGTGCTGAATGCAATTGAGATCGGTAAAAGCACGTTCATCGTCAGATCATAATACTTGGCTTCCAAGGCCGAGCCTAAAGGTGGACCTTCTGGTATGATAAGGCCAATCATGAATGGTCCCAAGAGGTATTTCATATTAAAAAAAAGTGGAGTAAGCGGCAGAGCCCAATGCGCTCAAAATCGCAATATGTACATACTTATTCGCCACAGGTTTGCCTTCCGGTGTGCGTTCTACAATCCATTCTACTGCCGGCCTAAAAATGAAAAAGACAGTGAGAAAGAGGACGATGGCTGCTACGATGTCACGGTAGGCTGTTGCCGGGGAGATGTTCCTGTATGTTCCCGCGGAATAGCCGATTATGTTGACAAAGATCCCGAGGACGTCATTGATCATGGACGAAGATATTACTAGCCGACCAAGCTCGGAGTTAAGGATCTTGAGCTCCGACAGGAAATATGTAACGGTGGGCAAGAGAATCGAGGATTGGCTTGCAATGATCACAAGGCGCTCGGCGAGTACTTTCTTCGGCGACATGTAGTGAGGGTCTACATTGTCCTTGTAGAGGTTCCAGAAACATAAGCCGCCAAACAGAGGAACGATGAAGGTCAAGATCCCAATCACGATGGGCAGAGGTCCATTGTTGAATGCCAATCTACGGCTGATTCTAACTGACGTTAAGAACGCAAAAAGAATGCTTCCACACACTGAGACGCATCTAAACACCGCACTTCCATCCAACGCCGGGTCCAACGATAATTTCTCCGATGATTTCTCAAGTAAATTAAACATTTGAGGCCCCAGCATCAAACCAGCCTGAACAGAATACTGCTATATTAAAAAATTGCAACATAGATTGAATAGCAAGCTCAAAGCTTTGACGTGCTTGTCAAGTTACATCTATTATTCGTACCTTACGTCTGTCTCACGTTACATATGGAAGGGTACTTACCATCATATGAGAAGCGATCTGGGAAATGCCGATGCATCTGAGAAACATGTGAGACATGACGGTGAAGATGAATATGAGTAATATCTGAATCTCTAGAAGAGGCAGCGAGTAGCCGAAAACCACATCAGGCGATTTCCGATCCTCCCACAATCCAAAAGAAGAGATGTTGAAAAATAATTGTCTACAACCGCTGATATCAGTCGTTGTATTTATGAATATGCCCCAATAGAATTTGGTGTACGAACATGGTGGAGTTAATTTTTCAAAAAAAAATAATATAAAGAACAGAGTACCTAAGGATAAGGGTTTCAACGGAGACGTGTTATTTTTTGTCGTAAATTAGTTTTGTAAGAGTTGGTTACTTAGAAACTGTTTAATTGGGCTGGTATGATTTGTTCAAAAACCTACTTGTATGGTTGGAAAACCTATACATAAGCCAATACATAAAAAAATCAACATTTTCAAATAGATTTATTATGATTCTAAATGGTGACCACTAAAAAAAAATAAAAATAAAAACGAATATTTAATTTTTCTTCGTTTCTTAAAATTTTTACATCATTTGTAAGGAATTTCTCCTCATTCTTTCTCATGCAGAGAATTATAGAACAAAAATATTTCTAATCAAATTTGAGAATGAACAAGAGGAATACAATTTTTCTTATAATTATTTCTCTTTCCTAAAATTTTGTTCTTTTTCATTCATTTTATTTTTTGCCTAGTTATTTCGTCACCAGGTAGATCCTATGAATACTTTGCTGCCATTGAAAGACTCTTAAATTTAGAAATATGCATTCACACATTGAAAGAATCTTCCTCCCTTCCGATTTAGGAATTTTTGTTTTTACCGTAAAGAACTGATATTTGAAGCTTCCCAATGCACTTCATATATGTGAAAATGAATTTAAACTAATTAACAAACTCATGGGATCTAATGGTTGAGGATTCATTATGTTAGTTGGAGACCATGTTTGAGTCTTCCTGTTGTGATAAAAGTTTTAGATGCCAATTACTAAGCCCAAGTGCAAGCAACGACTAGTAATTAGGG